ACTGATGTGCGTTGTAGAGAACTGTTTTTATTCTGGGAGATAGACAATCCGCTTCATACCAATAATTATTTTTTCTTTGGTGGATTTTTAGGTTATGCATTTCATTTTTCTGTATTCCTTTTGTTTTAATCTCATGTTCATAGCATTGCAATTCATTCAATTTCATATTATTACATGTCTCATTTCTTTTCATTCCATTTTATTTAATTTCATTTCAAAGAGAATACCAATGCCTTATCAGCATTGCGTTTATTTAATTTTCACAATTTTTTTTTATAAAAGTCTAGCTCACTGTCTAACAAAAACCATGTACGTCAAAGTTTCAAACTTTTTATTCAGAGTTTTTATAATATCCTATGTATGCAGTTGTTTAGGCCATTACATTTTAGAACAATTGAGTGCAAATTTGAAGTAACTGGGACGTATGTATGTATCGTTAATTTTAGGTATTCTTAAGGCCAAAATTGTTGAACATACTTTCTATGAAAGAAAAAGTAGCGTTGGCATACAAAAATTGCAAAAAATCAGATTGCAAAGTTCGAACTTTTGATGAAACTTTGCCGATTTTTCCTAATTTTTATACCAAGTGTTAAATTCGGACTTACATGCTTTTTGTTAAGTATTGAGCTACGCTTTCATAAAAAATTAATAAGCATTAAAAAAGAAAAGGAAAACATCCAAAACTGATTAAAATTTCGCGTCCCTATTTGTTTGTCTGCCACTGTATATTAGGGACCTTGAGAAAACCTATTATAGGGAGTGTAAGTGTATCGAGCTAAAAAGAGACTATGTTGAGAAAGTAAATCCTTTCTTGCCGAAAGTTTGCATTCAAAAAGTCACTAGGGGTATTCTTGGAGTCTTGCAAAGCCCTTGCACGGTGCACGGATTGCATGGGTTGCACGGTAAAAACCGATTTTGATATGTGGTCGCTTTGCAAACCGTGAAATCCGTGCGCCATGCAAGGGTTTTGCAAGACTGCGAGAATACCCCTACCGATTTTTCGAAACTGGCCTAGTAAGTGCATATTTGTATAGGCTGTCGTTTGAAGTCGAGCATAAAATTGACGCTTCGATAAAACTGTTTGCGTTTATCGATATCTTTTATCTATACCGTCGTCTGGGTAAAATATTATCGTAAGCGCCATTTTGATGATTCTTAGTTATAGAAGCACGTGTATATATTTCAAAATAAGACCTTTCGATTTGAGCTATCCGTTTTTGGATATACCCTTTAGTTGGCGAGATATTGATTAAAATTTTGTCCATCATTTAGCACAAATTTAGTTAATAATGCAACCATACTTAGCTAATTGGGATCTTTCAAACAATAAAAATAAAATTAATTGAGAATTTCGTGAATCAGTAAGACCTGCTGAAAGTAAAATTCGACAATATTTTATCCAGGTGACTGACTATATGTTAATAGATATCTATCGTTAGCGAAATTAAAATAAATTGATGTAAAAATTATTATTTATTGATGATAAAAAATTAAATTGTTCGAAATGCAACCCAATCTGCAATACATAAGCTCTTTATCGGTTTTCGAATTCGACATGGTCCTAACAATATCTATAAAAAAANAAAATTGTTAGCGATATTAAGAGTTGAGAGCGAAGGAGAAAGAAAAAGAAGTGGTGCAATTTGAAAACTAATACACAACAAAAAAAATATTAAAAAGACGCAAAAATACTTGAAGTATCCATCTTCAAGTTTATTATTTGATCAAAGGAAATGAGAAGCAGGCAAAATACATACATAGTAATTGTGTATAAACAAATGCTTAGTAGCGTAAACACCAGACAACACAATTTTTCCAAAAGCAAAATTTAAAAAGCCAACTCTATGAGAAATAAAAACGATAAATTATAATAACAGCAAACACTAAAAAAAAAAGTTCACGCACATTTTCACACGACACGTGGGCAGGGTGTGTGATGAGGCTTTGCCGTTGTGAACTCAATTAAGTTACAGTGTATAAAAAGCAAACAAAATATTAAAACAAAAATATGTAATAAAAATTAAATTATACATTGCATAAATACAAATACACACACACACACACACACATATAAGTACACAAAAGTAAAAATTAATACAAATATAAAGAAACAGAAATGATTGAGAGAATGATAAAAACTATAAAACTGAAGAATAAATAATAAAAAAATGAATACAAAATCTCTTTTAATTCATCTGAATGTAGTGGAAGAAGTAAGATTGCGTTATTTTTTATCGTGTATAGGGCTGGCACCATTCTTATATTCATGTGTACATATAAAATCCGGATATCCGGGTAAGGTCCGATCTCTTTTGTTACCCGGATAACTGGTTAATATCATTTCATTTTGTTACCCAGATATCCGATTATTCGGATTTTTTAATCAATGAATGAATATTAAAAAGAACCGAATATAACTCCCAGACCCAATCTCGAATATTGAAATAAAATAAAATTTAAATAAAAATCCGTGCAAACAGTCGTTGTAAGTCACAATGCCGTACGACCGTAGTTCCCAACCTTTTTCCACCGGCAACCAACATTTCTCTATCGTTATACCTTTACGGTCCATCGGTCCATGGGGGAGTAAAAACCCCAAATTTGTATCGCATCCCCTCCTTATGTATATAAGTACATACCATACACCATCAAATATTGCAAAAATATACATATACAACAGACTGTTCTTTAAAAATAAATTTCAAGCCGCCGGGCGGAGTATGCAGTTTTGTAGCCCATTAAATTTTAGCATAATAAGGTGCAAGTTTCAAGTCTATAAAAGTTTCCATTGATTTTTGAGAATTTTTTTTTTTTCGAGGGTGTTGATCATTTTCTTCCACATAAAAATAGATTTTGTTAATGCGGTATATGGGAGAATATGCGAAACACCCTTGACAAAAAGAATTCTCAAAAATCAACGGAAATTTTTAGCGGCTTGAAACTCGCACTAAAATTAAATGGTCAACAAAACTGCATACTCAACATTTTTCGAATTGAAAAGTTGAAAATTTTGATGAATATTTTTTGGTGTTTCTTGAATTTTCCCGTCTTCTATATAAAATTTAAGAAATTAATTCTCCTGTAGAATGAACTATATTTTTATAATAAATTAAAAAAAAAAATTGGTATGGGAAATATAAACATATGAAATCTTCAAAACGTCAGGGTATTCATATTATTCGAGCTGGCTGTATATCGTTCCAGATTTCACTGTGCGGTATCATATCTTCACGCCTGTTTCAGCAAGTCTTAAAAAGGCATTTACTTTTAATTTCGTTTCCCGGGCAATTGGCATAGTTTCTCGTTGCATTTACATGTACATTCCCAAAATGTCTGACTCAAATTCGTTGATATCTATGGTAACTACAAGTTATCTTATTAATTTTTTTTTCGTAATCAGTCCAATCACAACTTAGAGTTCCCTCGACTTCTCTTTAAGAAGGTATTTTTCGGCTGTTCTTAAAAAAAACACATATTTTGGATAAGTAATGGAGTTATAAACAAATTATTCAACGATTCAACGATAGGTTGAAGAATTGTTTCAAAATTTTGTTCTCATCTTACTTTGCACATTTTTTAATCCATTTTACCTTTTGAGCTTATTTCCTTCCTAAGGCTTAGAATACAGCTCTTAAGAAAAACGGAAAATCACATATAGAATGATACTCAAGAAATAAGAAAAAATTTTCTTCTATCAATATTTAATAAACCAGTTTGAAAATCTGAAAAAAAAACTCCTCATATATTATTTCTTCAAAAAAAATGTCCACCAACGGCAAAGTACGGCAAAGATGTATTATAAGCTTTACCATTAACTTTCTATTTTTTAGGGAAAGTTTTTTTTAGTCTAGGTATAGTGTAAGCTCTAGATTTTGTGATGTGGTGTAATTTAAGGACCACCTTGCGAACTGGTTCTGCAACAACAACGGAGTGGATATTTTAGGTTCAAATCTTAATTGAGACTTTAGTGCGTAATCGACTTTTCAAAATGAAAATTTTGGCAACTACTTAGCATTAAGAAAGTCTCTCTAAATGGCAGCGAATGTCTAAATTAATAAGCACTCAGAGTCCGATAGTGAAAATATTTTATTATGACTCTCATAAAGAATTTGTGCACTATAAATCGTCGAAGATCGCCCTAAACGCCCTATGTCAGCAAATGGTTTAAGAACGCCCTTTCTCAGAATTTGGTTCCAAAACGCCCTATCTCGGCTGACGGCTCGAAAATGCCTCACCTCATTATAAATTCAATACACCAGGACGTTTGTGAACCGTTTGCTGAGATAGGGCATTTTCGAAGCAGCTGCTGCACTCAGTCGTCGAAAAGCAATCATATTTTAAGATACATATTTCGGCATGNTGTTTGAGAACCGTTTGCTGAGATAGGGCATTTTCGAAGCAGCTGCTGAGAGGTAGTGATCTTCCACTCAGTCGTCGAAAAGCAATCATATTTTAAGATACATATTTCGGCATGCTTCCTCTTTTTGACTACATACTATTTACTCTCTTTATTTAATATATTCATCTATGTAGTAAACCTCTATTAATATGCCTTTTTGAATCGTTATACATATATATGTATTACTTATTTATGTACTGTTGTTTGTGAATCTAAATGTTTTCAATTCCTAATGTTTAAATATGTCGGCAACGCAATCACGGTAAGCTAATTAAATAAAATACAGCTGCATAATATTTTCCCTTTATTTGCAAATAAAAATAGTAAAACACAATTAGCGTAAATACCAAAAAAAGTAGATTGTTCCAAAAACAAATCAAAAGAAATTCATAAAATTTATATTTGGTCATGAAAATAATTTTTTGCCGCCATTAGAAATCAAAAAAAAAAATTATTGGACCCTTTTCATTTTTATTAATTGTTGTAACACTTTCGAACCACTTCATACAATATTTTTTTTTATATTTAAACACCGAAGCTTACATTTTTATCCAGTACTTTTTACTAATTTACGTTATTTACAATTTTTTCCCCCCCATAGCTCTTTCGTCACTTCGGTTCACCTTTCAATGCCATGGGAAATGGCAGCAGCGCTGCAGTAGCTGCCGCTCACTGTCCCACACCATTCGCCTTTCCATTTACACCATTCGGCCTGAGCCTATTCGACATAGATCCGTCCAGAATTTTGGGTATGCTCCGGCATCAGACGTGGCTGGCCGAAGAAGCTTTAAAGTAAGCAAACCTTTGTTAAATAAGTATTTAGTTTGGAGTATGTATTTTCATGTCTAAGTTAAAAATCGTCTTCCCTCCCTTGCAGAAGTCGCAATTTGCTAAATACGCCTAAGGACTTTTCCCACCGTTTCAATCCCATCGGCGAAATGTTCGCCAAGGATTTCCAACAAAATCATTCGCAAGCCACCACTGCCGAATTGCTTGCTGGCGTAGCAGCACCGAACAACAATCGGGCCAGCGCTGTAAGCCCAGTAAAGCAAACAACATCACCACAACAACAACACCCACTGCAACATCAATCTGAGCGTAACTCAATACCGCAGCAGCAACAGCAGTCACAACAGTACAAACAGCAACACCATCAGCCACCGCAGCAGCAACAAAGTTTTAACGTACGTTATCCTTCACCAGCTGCATTTTTCCATCATCAACAACAGCAGCAACATGTGAAACAAAAGTCCTGCCATCAAGGCACACCATCACCTCATACCACAGCCACCTCCACGCAATCGAAGCCAGATACCACACCTGCAGCAGCCATATCGCACAGCGAGACACCGGACGACGATGCGGTAATAGAACTTACCACACACGATGACGCACGCGACAGTGGTCGTGAAAGCGCTGTACATACGCCTAACAACAGTACGGGCACATCTAGTGGTCTCGGCACCTCTGCTGCTACCAGCGCTTGCTCGCCGCTGCTTTACAAAGAATCACTCGAACAACTGCTGCAACGTCGTCGGTCCGGCTCCTCGCTCGGTGGCGTAAGCGATAGCTTGCGTTCATACACACAGCTTTTGCTCTCCTCGAGCACGCCCGGTGGCACCGATACGTCCAGCTGTAAGGAGAAAAGCTCCTCATCGTCTACCTCATCAACACCACCACCCACCTCAGCGCTGTTGGCGCAACACCAGTTGCTCACCCAACGGCTGAACAGTCCATCGGAGACGTCGTCACTCTTTGGCGAAACGATCGAAGAAGAAACGCGTTGCGTCAACTGCAATGCACACTTTCCGAATGTGTGGCTGTTGGAGCAGCATGCTGCCCTCCAGCATCCACACATTGGACCGGGCGAGGAGAAACCATTCATTTGCGAGCAATGCGGCCAATCGTATCGCTATCGTTCCGCCTATGCCAAGCATAAGGAGCAAAATCATCGCGCCCGCTTGCCGGCCGACAAGCTCTTCACGTGCGACGTCTGCGGCATGCAATTCCGTTATCTCAAATCGTTCAAAAAGCATCGCCTCAATCACGCGCTGGAGCGCTTGCACGGCAAAAAGGGCGCGATCGGCAAACATTGCCTAACACCAGCGCATATGCTGGGCGAACAGGATGTGGTAACCAGCTCGCAAGAGCCGATGGTGGCCGACGAGGGTGGTGAAGATTTACGCATCAGCGTGAAGCGCGAACAAGATGATGATGAACGTGAACAGCAAGACCGTGAAGATCAGGATTGCACCATTGATTCGGCTGGCCTGATGATCTACACTGATAACAACAATTCGACGGCTTTAGCTAAAACCAGCGTCGCAGAGGCGAACATTAGCAGTTCAGATGGAATTCATAGTACAAATAAGGGGGTGAGTAAAAATTGCTAGAAAAAGAAGAACTAAATCTACTCACATATATGTAAATATATGTGCATATGTGTGCATAGAAGCATACGTATGAGAGCAAAAAAAAACGGTCTAACCATGTCCGGTTAAAAAATAATATCACCGAATTTTTCTCCACTCTCCCACAGCCTCGCCTTCTTACAACTCCACAAATGGAAACGGATCCCTCCCATCATCATATGCAACGCCATCCACATCATCACCACCAACATCAGCAACTACAACAGCAACAGCAACATCAACAACAGTTGCCACCACATTTGCAAGGCAGTGTGGCTGGTACATCACTGCCACGACATCAACATCCGCATCCACATGTACATGCACACACACACGCTTCTCTGCCCCATTCGCATCATCCACATGCGCATGCGCATCACGTTGCTGCGTCCACATTGAATTCACTCAACTCCATCACGTCGCTGATCAATGCCGAGCGCATACCGAACGAACAATTCCTGGGCCTTAATCCACAGGAGGCTTCAATACTCAATTTTCTGCGTGTCGATGCAGCAGAACGTCAGCGGGATAAGCGGTAAGTTATATGGTTTTATACATTACACAGGCAGGGTATAGCCGTATGCAGAGCGACAGCTGAAAATTGAAGAGTTCTAAGGCACGTATCGCCAGTATGTGAAAAGATTTTACTCTAAACGACGTGATGTAATTTCGAAAACAAATGTTTTTTCCACATTTTTGTTCTGTAGCGTTGAACTAAAGAACCTCCTACTGGGAAAACAGAATTTCTTTTTACCAAATTGCTTAATTTATAACAGTTTTATTCCCAAGAATTCCTAAAAACCCAAACCGAGAGTGTTTTCGCAAGAACGAAAGTAAGAACAAAACTGTCGAGAATGTTCTCAACGAGAATTATACAAGAACAAAACGCACGCTGGGAAACATTCCCAAAGCAAGCAGAATTCGGACAATATATTCGCGAAGATTTCTAAAAGAACAAAATGAGAACAAAATTCTTCAGAACATTTTGGCAAACAATAAAACGGGAACAAAAGTCTAAGAAACTTTCTGCCGAATAACAATTTGTGGCCTAAAATCTCAGGTACCTTTTGACAGACAACGAAACCGGAACCAATCTTCTCTGAGCTATTCACGCCGAATGGAAGCGAGAAAAAGATTTTTCTGATAGCTCTGCATTAGTTTGAAATGTTTGAATATTAAAATTAATAAAAAAAGAACTGAAAAATAGTTATGCAAGTTAAGTCAACGAAAAACTTCAGCGACGAACTTTTCTTGCATAGAAACTGAAAATTTTTTTCCATAAACCGACAGTTCACCCTAATGATAAACGATCTTGGGGTTAAAATGATCCAGCTTTTCTCGGGCTTGGAATTAACAATTACGGTTCTCACTGAAACGGGTTTTCATCCCAAGGCGCAGACCCCCGTCTAATTCTTAACGTTAAGATCTCAAAAGTTTTGATTTTCTTGATACTTGAGAATGTCCTCGAGAGCTTTTTTCCACATTCCTTTCTTTACGGAAACGTTCCCAAAGTCTTTATTCTCATTTTGTTCCCCTGCTCTCCACACTTCTGTTCCCGTTTGGTTCTTTTGCGGGAACGTTTTTAACATTACATTTTGTTCTCGTGCAGACCGGAACGCGTTCTTGGTCCCAGCGTCATAAATCGAAAATTGTATCCAACACACATGCATGCCCACATACATAAGTATTTATTTACTAATTTATCTCACACAACTTACAGCCCCCAAACCTCACGTTTCGCCTGCCCCTTCTGCGGCAAATGCGTACGCTCCAAGGAGAATCTGAAATTGCACGTGCGCAAGCACACCGGCGAACGACCATTCGTGTGCCTCTTCTGTGGACGCGCTTTCGGTGGAAAATCGGACCTCACTCGCCATCTGCGCATACACACCGGCGAACGGCCATATCACTGCGAATCGTGCGGCAAATGTTTCGCACGCGCCGACTATCTATCGAAGCATCTTACAACTCATATACACAATGCACCACGCTGAGATGAGGTGCGGAGGAGACAACGACTCCTTCGCAGATAATAGAATGAACAGCCAAGGGAGCGTTGGTGGTGGGAACATTGGTGGTGGAGTTGCTTTGTAGCTGCCACTGCCGCAGCGGAGAGCTGTGCATTGCCAGATGTTGCGGGGAAAGAGACACAGCAATATACGTAGATAAGTGGATATAAAAATGCTTTGACACAAAATGATAGAGGAAAAAATATGCAAGAGAGTATAAAACATAAAAAGAACAAATACACATTCACAAAATTTAATAATTACAGAAAATCGTGCGCAAAAATAAAATTTTATGTACACAAATATGAGAGCACTGGCTGCGTAAAACAACTACAACTAGAAATAAGCTCACATTATTTGCGAGGCAGTGAATTTTAAGGAAAAAACAGGCAAAGTGGAGCCTAGAAATGAAGGCACCAAAAAATTTTATCGATCTTCTTTAGTGCTCTACCGCAAAACTCATACCTTTTATTTTTAAATTATGTAGAATCCTTGGTTAAGACGTATAAAGAATTATTTTAAGAATATGTTCAATGCGAAGCATTCATACTAGAGTTCAGTTTGCTTAGTTAGAAGTGCTAAAGTTCAGAATTTTATTAAGTAAAACCATAAACACGGGTAGTAGATATTACGTATGAAGGTTTAAAAAATATATTTTATATACATAAATATGTAAGCAGGTATTTAGTTCTAAGTCTTAAAGAAGTCTCTATTTTCCACTGTTGAAAGCAAGTTCTCTAAACCTTTTATTCTTTAAATTTTCTGCTTGAAATTCAGTAATTTAAACATTCTGTATATGTTTGAAAATTCTTCATTGAAGGAGAGGGAGATTAGCGAAAATCACGAAATTTAGGAGTTAAGAAAACTTTTGATTCGAAAATGTATTCAATTGAGGTGAATGACAAAGAATAAAAAAGGTATGTAATTAATATTTACTCTTGTGTTCAAAAACAAAAAGAAATTAAATTTTTCGAAGAGCTTAAATCAGTGGTATCCTGATAAGAATTTGAAATAAAACTTTACAAAAATATCGATGGTTTGTTCTCCAAAATTATCTGAACAAACTTGTAATCGAGTAGTACGTTCGACCAAAGTTTTGTCTGTCCATGAAGAATCTTCGAAACAAAATTCGAAGCGGTGAAGTGATTGTTGTAAAATCAGATTTTCATGAGGCAGTTAATATTCTAGTGCTGTGTAACTAAGCTCTTGGTGGAGTTATAGAGCTGGCTTCCAGAGCAGTTCGCCACACGCTCAAAGTTACTTTCAAAATTCAAAAAAAAATAATAATTAAATGGACTCTGTAACATAGAATGTACAGAGCCTTTAGCTCATCTAAAAAGAGCGAAAATAAAGGATTAAAAATAGAAAGATTGCTTTACAAATTCTACCGCACACCAACTCTACAGGGTTAAACCCCTCTAGAGCGCGCATTGGCTCTTAACAGCCCTACAACTCTACAATGCTCCCCAGCCACTATGCTAATCAGTTTAGTAGCAGAGTGGGCCACACTGTTCCGGCTATGAACTCAAGTGTACGATCTGACTCATTTTAATTAGTAGTGTTGGGAAGTATCGAATACTTTTGAGGATCGAGTTCTTTGGTATCGAAACTTTTAAGGATCGGATCTTTTTGAGAGTTCTGAGTACTTTCTCTAAATAAATACATGTCAATGTTTCAATGATTGGTGTAGAAATCTCCCAAGCTGACAGTACTTTATTCAAATTAATACATTAATCCCAAATTACATCAAATGATTGGCTAACTTTACTGGGTAAATTATTGTACTTGAAAGCTATTGAAACTTCAAATTGAGTACATCATTTCTGAATACCGGTAAATGTAAGTAAAACCCAGTACTTTTTAGTATATATACGACACTTAATAATGAGTACTTTGAATCAATCCTGAGTTCATGTATCAAAGTGATGATCGGAATAGAGAATTTTTAAGCACTGAGTACTTTCGAGCTCTTTGGTGAGTACTAAGTACTTTGGAGCACTCATTATCTATACTTTTAAAAATCGGCTGCTGTCGATCCTTTTGAGAATCGAGTTCTGAGTACGTTCGGTATCGATATTGCCTAACACTAATAATTAGCTTGAGACATTGAGTAAACATACAATGATTTGAATATGCAGGTGATACAATTTCTTTTGTCGCATATTCTAATTAGTTTTACCTGCACTTACTTACGTGTGCATATGTATGTATGTGTGTAGTTCCCCTAGTGAATGCTAAACCACCTTTCTGTGTTCATTTTCTGCCTGAGTTGATATACATATGTATGTACGTACATTGTATGTAGATCATCAGAAACTTTCTCAGTACTCAAATTTGAATCTTCTAAAACTTTAGAAACTTTTAGGAAGAGCATACCTAATTTTTTTAACAAAATAATATCTATTGCACTCCCTCTCTTTCACACGTAGAAAATTAGTGATAGTGATTTTTTTTATCTAAGCAGAAAAAGAACAAAACCATCGATAAAACATACGATTTGGAAATTTAAAAAATATGTAGGTTAGGGTGGTCATTAAAATTGCAACATCTAAATTTGGTATAGGGCACCTCTTTATTTTGTTCTATGTACAAAATAAGGACAGCCGCAAAAATTTCAGACAAAAAATATAAGTTCGCTACCAGCGTTTGAAAAGGTTTAAATTTGTTTTAAAAATCGTGAACATACGACAAAATTTAAAATGAAATCTAATAAATTTGCCATTTTATTGAAGCTTATACATATGTGTATGTATGTATATGCATAAACTCGCTGAGTTATAGTAAAAAGCAGAGTTAAAGTAAAAATTTTGTCGAATTTTCGCTATTTCTGAAAAACAATTTAAATATTTCAAAAACCCAGTAGCGTCGCATAAATATTTTTTTTTAATTTTAAAAATTTTTCTCCAATGTGTTTGTTTTTTTATTTAGAACAAAATAAAGGAGTAATATTTTTAAGGACCACCCTAATGTAGGTGCTAGTTTCTGAATAGAAGTAAATTTCTAGCTGTACAGAGAGCAGAAAAGCTGCGCTCAAGAGCGCAATAATCAGTGATCAGCAAATGAGTTAAGCGGATATTGAGGCATAAACAGCTTATAAAGCCAAACAGAGGGTTTATTTTTTAATAAATATAAATAATTCTTACAAAAGATATGTTTACTTATCATTTAATTAAGTTCAATTAATATATACACTTTTTGTTTATAGTTAGAAAACATCACAATAGTTAATTAGTTGAAATAGTTAAATGCTAACAAGAGATTTTAAATTCGAAGCAATGAGGCAAATATGCAAGAAAGGCACAACAACAAAAGTAGAAGGTAATGCAAGAACTTAGTAAATAGTTTAACTTACAATATTAAAAAGTGTAAAATAATGCAAACAAACTGTACTGTATTCGTGTATCGATCTACTAAATACATACATGGAAGAAAAAAACCCAGATTTGGTTTCAGCAAAACAACAATCAAAATGAAACAAAAAACTAATAAAAATAAATGCACACAAAAAACGAGAACACAACCGCAGCAGCTGGCAAGAAAAAAAACAAAAAAATAAAACGAAAGCTGAAAAGTATTACTGTGAAGGAATTTTCAATAATGCGCCGCAATAGACATAAACTATTTATTTAACAAATACTGCAAAAAAACAAGAAACTGCTAAAAAGTATTTTTATTCTTTATTTTTTACAAATAGTTAATTTTTGTGTACTTTTATTTCAGGACATACATATGTACATGTGGTACATTCATATATTTTTTACAAAGCAGCAGCAGCGATAATTTACACACATAAAAACAATAACCTGAAATAATAAATAGCCAATTTTTTGTTCAATTACATAGTTAAAAACATACATATATAAAATATTTTTAAAGCAACTTAAGTATAATACGCAAACAAATAGTAAAGAGGCAACTGTACAAGTTTTTATATACATATTTAGAATTACAATTATTGCAATAATACATAGTTTTTTGTTTTCAAACATACATACATACGAACATATGTATATTCTATACAAAATATGTGTAAATACATAAAACCAATGCAACTCAAAGTAGCTACAACAAAAAATAGCAATAAAAAAGCATAATTATTATTAATACAAGCAGCATACAAAGAAATCTAAAGCGGAACAATAGAATTTATTTATTTTTAATGAAATAAGAAATAATCATTTTTTTTGTTTGCAGCAAAAAGTTAATAAACAAATAAATTTAAGACATCTACAAAATACAGATGTGAAGAAAAGAAAGCAAATACTTGAAAGTGTATCAAGAAAACCACCACCGCCGCTAAAAAATTTGTTTTTTTTTTATATTATTTGATTTTGTAAATCAATAGCAAATATTTATATATTTAATTAGTTAATTTTTAAAACAACAACTCTAAAAACAATACCTACAATAACAATTATAAAGAAAGTAAAAAATAATAATTCATACAACAGCAGCAAATAACTGTGATTTTACAATGAAGCAAGCAAGCAAGCAAACAAGCAAACAAATAAACAGAAAAAATAGCAAAATATTTATTATTACCACAAACAAGCTAAAATCACATACAAACATGCATAGTATACATACATACGTAGTAAATACATAGTTATGTAGTAGCAACCATGGATGCAATAGCAAATAATGAATTAAAGTATACATAAAAAAGAAATACAATGCCGGAACGGGTTATTTTACAGTACCATTATTTTCTCAAACAATTTTAATAACACACATACATATATTAAGCATAATATGTTTATTTCTTGCTAAATAATATTAGCTGTAAAATTTTCTTATTGTTTAATAATTAAAAAAAATGCACGCGTGCAAAATGTGTTACTTTCAAAATGCGCATATTTAAAAAGCAAAAGCAAGCAAAATTTAAGCAACAGGTCTACAACAAATATTACAAAGAAGAAATACAAAACTAGAGCAAACAAAAAATTAACAAACAAATGTAAGAAGTGAATTATATATAACACAGAACCGATGACATCGAATTACCACTAAATGCATACATAGTAGTTTCATTAATATACAAACATACATACACAAAATATACATAAATGTAAAAGCATGCAAGCAAATACGTTTGTTGAGAAAACAAACAAAAAAATAAGCAAGAGAATCATTAATTATACAACAACCACAAAACCTTCTCATTGTTAACAACAACAAAAAAGAGCAAACCGTGAAGTGGTATTAAAATAAAAAATAAGAAAATAAATTTAAAGTTAAATTTCCCAAAAAGAAGTTGTAAAATCAAACCCATGTAATTCAGCAAGAAATTATGTATAGTAACGAAAATGAAATTACACAAAATTCAGCGTCAGCAACTAAAAAACAAAATCATGTATACCACCTAAACATTGATGTTTTAGCAATTAAAAACAAAAAAACAAAACAAAACAAGAACAACAGAGAAACACAAAAACTAAATTAAGCGCTTTGTAAGCAAACAGCGCTATGGCGAACAGTTAAGAATAGCTTGCAAGCAAAAATACAACAAACAATTGGCAACAGTTTCAAGAACCACAAACAAATAGGGAAATTATATAAAAAACGTTAAAAAAAAGGTTAAACAATAACTTAAGGCTGAGTAGGGCTTTAGCGGTGCGTTGCGACGAGGTACAACAAGCGTTGTCGTTTTGCTTAAATTTAGCAAAATTTATCAATTTTTTCCTGCCTATTAAAATGTTAAACTTTTGTTCATTTTGCTAAAAATTTTTATTAAAATATTCAAAAAGGATCATTTTCCTCAAAAATTAATTTCTGACTATGAGTCAATTTTCAATCAATTTTTCAATTTTATATTAGAATCCCGTATAACGTTCGAGGAAATGTTGCTCTACGCAACTCTCGATCCGCGGTCATCGCATTTTCAAACCTCCGGGTGTTCTTCTGCCATGAAATCGTTTCTCATAAAAACCATTTGCAG